CAGCTATGTTAGACATAGCAACTTGTGCTGGGATTACACCATTCAACAGCTTGCAAGGCTGATGAATTGACCACCACTAATTTGATGCGCACACACACACACACACACACACACACACACACACACACACACACACACACACACACACACACACACACAATGCGGATCCGGGCGCAACCTACCCACAAACGAAAGCAGACGCTGCAGCCATCCGCTGGAGACACCGCGGAAGTCCTTACACACCACGTAGACTTCGGAATTTCCAGACTTGCTAGCCACTGGCTTGGTGACAACGACCTGTACAGCAATACGAACAAGAAAGCATTGTCATGAGCGGGAAACACACACACTTTACATGTACAGAAGGCCGTCACCCTCACACATCACACAGGCACCATAGTAGCAGTGCACTGATCGGCCTTCAACGCCTAACATTCGTTGCGGCTGAAATATTGGTTTTCAAGGCACAGCGCGGCTGAGTAGACAGGCATGGGCAGTACAGGCTGCATTGTTGATGTGGTCAACAACTGTTCCAGCCCTCGGGCAGGGGGGAGTGTACATGTACCCGCTGCCCGCTCCAGAACACTCACCTGTGCAAAGACGCAGTTGAGCAGGTAGAGCAGGCAGATCGAGCTATCCTCCAGCATAGTAAACATCTTCAGCACCAGAGCGCCACCGTCGCCACTGCCACCACCGCCAATGCCGTCATCACTGCCGTCGCTACCGTGGCGACGCCGCAGCAGCGCGATCGCCGTGGCAACCTCGCAGAAATGCAGCGTGGACACGTGCCGCTCCTGCTCGCCGGGCACGTCCTGACAGTCCACGCTGCCGTCCGCCGTCACCAGCGTTGCCACGCCAACGGCCAATGACGCGCCGTCGCGTTCATCACACATTGGGCTAGTTCTGGCCTGCGGTTCACCAGCGGCATCTTTAAACAAGTCACCACTGGTATCAGTTGTTGCTTCATTATCACAATCGCTTGTAGGCGACGAGACACAATCAGTGCTGTCCGTGTTGCCGTTGGCAGTAGGGAGTAGGTATTTTACTACTCCCTGGTTGGCAGTGATCTGGTCCCCAGTCACAGTAGAGACATGGCCGGAAGCTGCTGTGCATGCTGCCGCGGCCGTCGCGGCGCTGCCAGAGTCCAGATCGCGGGCGGTGATCGGCTCGGCAAGCTCATGATCGACGTGACGAGCGTAGGGTGCACTGCGATCATATAGCACGGCGGGCGCGGTGCCATCTTGCGCGGAACAATTCGGGGAGGATTGGCAGGAGACTCTCTCACCGGCACAGCTATTGTCAGTGACACTGGGGTCTCCGGCGGACACAAGTCCAGTACTTTGAGAGAGCGACCGGTCGCTAGCGCCCATCTCATCGCACTTCTCTATCAACGACCGGACGTTCTCCCGGCACATCAGGTTTCCCGTGTTGTCGGCGCAGAAGTACCAGCGGTCGCGCGTGAAGCGGATGAACCGATCGTCCGTGATGGCCCCATCCTCCTCGGCACCGTCCGAGTACGGGTTCAGCGTGGACGCCAGCCATCGCCAGTTCACGGATGCCGCCGCTCCCGACTCTGACATCGTCGTTTTCAGATAGTGATTGAGCGCTGTGATGAACCCACCTGGCGCCTCGCACAGGTGAACGGAAACGAGGGCGCTGTCGTCGCTAGTGCGGCATGCCGGCACCAGTCGGTGGTACGCGAGCAGCTCGTAGAACTTCGCCCACGCCTGCGTGCACAGCTCGGCCCCGAGTCGCTCTCGCGCCATCGGCTGGACGAGGCCGCCCACGTGGGCGCGGCGTGTGTGCACGTGCCACACGGCGATATCAATGTCGTTCAGCTTCGCCTTGCACGCGTTCAGCTCCGACTTCAAGAGCTGGCACTCCTCTACCTGGAACTCGTCGGCACTGAACATCAGGTCGTCGCTAGGCAATTGCCAGTCGGGCGACGGCTGGAACTCAAAGTGCTGCCGTGAGAAGCGTTCCTCCACCAGCCATTTCCAGAGATCATCTTGATGCGTGCGATATGCGCGGCGCTTTCTGCTTGCCTTACTCATGCTTATATGTAGCTACGGAGGACGTATTCTGCCAACAGAGGTAAGACCTATAGATCAGACTGTCCTCACCATGCGTCACAGTGGATATAGCACCACGGCCGCTGAAAATTGGTCCTGCTGCTGCTGCTGCTTCTGCTACTTGGTTGATTCTACCATAGCGGTTCAACACACACCACAGCCCGATACTTTTCTAGACTGGCTGCTTGAAACGTGCTTTTGGCGACCTCCGCACGCCCTGCAATGACGCTGAGAACGCTTGTTGGGAAAGAACAGTGCGCGCAGAAGAAATTATACGCCGTCTCAACTCAGCTCTGGTTACAACTTCGACGTTGCACAGTCAGTTATGAATTTCTACACATCTGTTGGTAACGAAGTCAAAGTTGTTGCTAACTTCTTGAAATGGGCCCAAAAACAGATATCAGCCTGAAATGAAACAGAATTGCTAAAAAAATGCCAACAAAGTTGCTGTGCTCGACCTCAACTGCAAATATCAATACTTACTTGCTGCTGTGGCCGTGGGTGGAAAGCTAGTAGAGCATTTTGCCTAGGACTGGGGAAGTAACAAGTGGACGGACCGCAGGAAACCTCTACACAAGAAATAAAAAGAAGAGGAGTTGTAGAGGTGACGTTTTGCACCACACTGTACTTTTGAAAAGAATGAAGAAAACGACGCCACACTCGCCGCCATGACGTCGATGATGACGTATCAGGTGCGCCAGGGTCCAGGCCCAGGGCCAGGGTCCACCAGGTCCACTCCAGTCTCCAGGGACCGGGAGTCGTAACATACCGGTATTTTACGACTCCCTAGTGAGTAGTGTGCACATCATACATGTACAGTGTAGAGGGGACGGTTTCAAATAGGACATAGGTTGCAAACCGGAACGGACTCAATATTCACTTTCTCTCTTGGTATTTTGATTAGAAGACATAATGTCACAGTGAGACTACGATGTGTTATACTCCGAGCCAAAATTTCATGGCTCTGCGATGACCAGAAGCGCCATATCAAGCAGGTGAGTTTTTGACGTGTTGCTTCGCACTGCGACTTGAGTTTTACGACTTTCGAAAAATCAACTTCTTGTAGAAGGTAAACAGCGGCTCGCCTCTCGCCAATAAAGCACCGCATACCAATCAAAACTAATGGAAGCACACACAAGGCTTATTGTTACTCTGTACTGGCCGTCGTGGAGCGATAGCAATTACCTAATTTCAGACCCAGAGTGAATTTGACGTGCACTCTAAAACGTGTCCGGTTTGGAGCCACCTCTGATTTGAACTTTTTTGAAGCGAAAAATTGGGCAACTTGGAGGCAATGGGTCAACACAAAGGAGTGGCTCAGTTCGATTGACTCTGGCCCCAGAGCAAACTTCAACATGCCAGTTTCCTTCCACAAACATATTTCGAGTGAAAAATCAACGCTGATGATCGGTTTGGGTCTATACAAATTTGGCTGTCAAAGCGTCCCAGTATCGAGCCGTCTCCTCTACCTGGTGTACCTAGTACCTGCCAGATATTTTTTCAAAGTATGTAATAATTGAAACTGCTTTTGAAAAATACCTCAAAGAAAGAAATTGTTCTTGAACACCAGGCCCAGAGTACAGCATTGTCTTATCTTGTGGATATGTCCATAGATAGCGTTTGAGAGATTAAGAGGTAAGGCTTGAAGTCATCAGTGAGCACAAAGCCGCCAGCTGCCTTAGGAATCCCACAAGGTATCTTCTTGAAAAAGTCATGTCCGTTTCTCCAGAGGACTCCGCTGACTCCACAGACCGTCTGATGTCTTCATCTTCTCTCCCCGTGGATGTGTTCCAGTCGTGCTGCACTGAGCCGCTGGCCAAGATCTGGGCAGAGGGCGACTGGCAGGTGAAGCTCAGCTTCCTTGGCGTGTCGCTACTGGTGTTGATTTGGGCGTGCATCGCTTGTGCGTGGAAATACTGGGGTGAAAGCATCTCCGAGGCATTCCACCAACGCGATATGATCCACTCGTTGTCGCGCACCAACAGCTCACTGGCGACGGAACGCTCTGGATCGGGGCACAGTACAGCGGAGATGGCGGCGGCCGGGGCGGACGATTCATTCTCCGGGACGCCCAGCGGCGAATTAGATTTAGACGAAAGCAGGAAGGACAGATAAGTGGCACACGTGTTGAGCGTGCCGCGGTATCTTTACTTGTTGTGTAGAGACGACATAACCATGGCCGTACTTGGCTATTGTTCGGTTAAGTTCATCATGTGCCAGGAGACGTGAGAGCCACCGGCGCGGCTGGTAATCTGCCGCACCATGAAAGGCTCCGCACAAGACATTTAATTGACCGGCGTGCCCCTACCATAGCATGGCACCAACGGACCGCAATGGTGGCCCGGCCCGGGAAAACGCTCCTGAGATCCCCAGACCAACAGTGCTACACTCGCTATATTTGTAGTTGTTCCGACCATCCGTGTGCACGTGCCGTGTATCCGCAGCTGCGTGATGGAGCTGTTCCTTGAGTAGATGGACTACTCAGCACGCGTCGAATGACTGACTTGTCCAACTACAGCCCGGTAGGGAAGTAGGCCACACTGTTCCCGAGGCTGTTTGTCCCTACCGTATACTTAAAACTCGCTGATCACGTACACGTCCATCGGTGTGCCAATCCATCCTTGGAGATGCTTTCTGTCGTGTCGTAACGAACCCCAGACTGAAGCCACAGAGTTGGTTCTGTGCCTCGTGGCAGATCTCAGACTAAAGCCACAGAGTGGGTTCTACACATATCTCTTGTGTGCATGCCTTTGACCAGCGCAGTGCCATCGATCAGGGAGAGCTGCTTCGTCTTTTCTTATTGGCCTTTCCTTTGCAAAGTGCAAGCGGTATTTCAGGTGAATGTTAATGCAGACTGAGTGATCCGACGCTGTGGATGTTATGCCTGCGCTATCCCAAGTAACGTTGTTAATTCCCACTTTTGTAGCGCTGATCAGCGCTTGCCATTTCTGCTCACTTGAGGCAGACGGGCACTTGCCGGAAATCCGCTTAGCTGTGCTCTCTCCTTTTTTTCTCTCTTTTTTGCTGCTTTGTGTGCATGCGCGGTTTTCAGACTTCACAGTAAAGTGAACTTCCCTGGCTGCCATCAGATGAAGCCAATATGCTGCTATGGCTACCATGGTTTGTTGGGGCATGCCATGCCAGGAAGTCGTAAAATACCACTCCCTGATGCATACCAAACTGTTCTGGTTTTATAGCCGAACTAAGCAAGGGTGTAGTCGCCTAACGACCGGGTGTAGCCGCCATTCAACCGGGAAATGGACCCATTAATGCCATTGCGCAATGACATAATTTGTACCATAACCACCCTTCACAGCCACCTGGGCATGGTCGTCTGGGATGTTGAACAGTGCATTCCTGATCCCAGCGTACTCACAAGCATCACTCGTACATTCCAGATTTGGCAATGCACAACGGGTCTATTGAGGCGGCGGGCACATAGGCTGGAGTATAACTGGTAAAATACTACTGCAGTACTGCATACTTACCCGTATAACTACACTCTACCTCTCTTATCGGGCCAGTCGGGGACCGCGCACTGCCCGGAACTTTGAAATGTCCGGGACTCGGATTGCCGTGCACTAAGATGCGGACGCACGTGACCGTAACATAGCACGACAATTAACATGACAACCAGACTACTACTCCAGACATGAATGCAGGAAACCAGTACATGTGCACATGCGTGTACACCAGGTCCACCAACAAGAACAAAGGATGGCCAAGGACAGATTTCTTTTCCGGTACAAAAACAAAAAAATTGGGTCTCTTCCTAAAATAAAGTGCAGAACATCAAAGAACATCATATCCAGCAAAGCCTGAAAGCCAATTCTGCTCATCTCATGAAAGTATTGATCAACAATGGAACCAGCATAGCCAAGCATTCCTCGGCAGAGCAAGCATTAAAAAAAAAGAACCAGAAAGATTGTTTTAAAAAAAAGCTGGTTCAACACTTTTGTGTTTTAAAAGAATTCGAAAATCTTTGAAAATCTCCTGTAAAAAAAAAGTTGAAGGATTTGTGGTGCACAAGAACATACATTATGAGTGATAGAAAAGCAAATCTAAAGCGTTTTATGCAACGAATGTACTACTATGCAGTGAGAAAATAGGTCCTGTTTAGAATCCCTTCCATTGTTTTATAGTAGAACTACCGGTCGGGGACAGTCCGCAAGCATGCACGCCAGGACCAGGGACGGCGGCGCGGGCAAAGCGCACAGCCATCGCCGCTAGATCCTATGACTGTGGAATGTAGAGCCAGCGAACAGGAGTAGCGTGAGAGCACCGGTAGAAATCAGGTACTGGAAGGGGATCGGGGACAGGGGGGGGGGGGGGGGGGGGAGGAGGAGGCGCAGGGTGATGGGAGAAATGTGGCAATAACTGCAGAAATGACAGGAATCAGAGTTGGGACAGAGAGCAAGGTGGAATAACTGCAGGTATTGGAGCAGGGGAATGGAGAGGCTTGGCTAGCGAGCCATCTAAAACAGGCACCTAGAGAGATGAGCGGAAAGGACAGAACAGCACTGCATTCAAAACCTAGCCGCGGGCGGCAATTACAGAGTCACTCGACCTGATGCGTCGTGCATACCGCACACGGAGAATTTACCAACGTCAGTCGGGAAGCATCGTTGCACGCCGCCAGTTCTATTGGGCGAAGGCGTAGCGGTAGCAACGAGAAGCAGCTCCCAACATAGCCCGGACTGAAACTTGCCGATACGCAGTCCCCTGTGGCGCGGCTGGCAGCTGCTGTAGTAGTTGAAGTGTTGGGACTACTTTATTCAGCCGTGCCGGGCCACTACCGGGCCTCTACGGGATACCCTATGAGCCGTGTACAGCTGTCAATGTGACTAGTGCCCGGCTGTGCAGTGTGTGTCTGTGCAGAGGCCAGCGGTGTCACTAGATCGGCAACATGGAAAACAAACGGGCTCAAGGCAAATCCTCTACTCTGCTAGCTGAGCAAGCAGGGTCGTAGGCACATGGCACGCAGGCTTCACAACCCTGGGAAAGCGATAATTGTAGGTCGACAAGGAGAGGTTCTACGCTTCGCTATCTCTCTCCGGCGAAGTGACCGTCGTCTGTGGAATCAGAGCGTTGCGCGGAATCACCGGCGATGCGGTCTGCACCTCGGGCACGCTGAATCGCCGCGTGTGCGAGGCCGGCTCGGGGCTTCCGCCCGCGGAAGAGAGCGACGCGTTGGCAGACGCTATGCTGCCGCGCGGTGTATTAGAACCCGACGCGTGGTACGCAGCAGCGGCGATGGAGGCATTGGCGGCAACGATCAGCGCCGTGCTCGTCTGCAGGGAGTTACCGGACGTTGCCGGCTGCAGGTCCAGGCTGTTGCGCTGCTCGGAAAGCTTGGCCTCCGTGTTGCAGCCGCCGCCGCTGCTGTCCCCAAAGTCCACCTCCAGCGCTCGCTTGCGCACTGCCGGCACCCAGGCCAGGGGCAGACGGCGCTCGCCGGTGCTTTCTCGTCGCCTGGAGCTGGACGGCGAGGACGCCGGGCTGGGCAGCGAGTCGGACGGGTTCAGCGTGCTGAGGCGACGCCGCTGATACAGCACCGGCGAAGTGGAGGCGGACAACGGCATGGACAGAGGCGAAGCGTCACCTCGCGCCTGCATGGCCAGTGGACTGCTGCTGCTGCCGCCAAACGAGTGACGCGTGTGCGTCGTGTGCGGCGACGAGGGACCGCTCGATGTGCGCAGCTGATCGAGGCCGCATTCTCCAAGCGAGCCAGTGGACGTGTGACTTCGGCTGGACGAGCGCTTCAGATTGAAAGTGAATATCTGCGCAAAAAGAAAAGCAAGAAAGAAAGTGAGCACATTGACGGTTTGAAATTATTATAGCAATAAACAGGATCAGCTGGACACTCGTTCTACACCCACATCAAGGCAAGTTGTTGGGGGAATTCCCTTGCCTTCTTGATGTGTGTATAGAATGAGTGCGCAGCTGATCCTATTTATTGCTATAACTAAATTCCTATCTCCACGTAGGTTGAACACGGATGGTGAGCCAATTTAATTATGGAAGAAAATGATCTGGTTACGCTGGTGCACGGTTAGTCATAACTCGTAACATTTTTTGTCCTTCTCTTTTTTCCAGGTAGGTTATTGAAGATATTGTGGTTAGGCTTTCCCCATCGACTTCCTTCCTTACCAACAAACAATGTGAGAGTGCGATTAGTGCACAATTACGCGCAGTTCCCTCCCATCTAGAACTCCCTACGATGTCGTTCGAGTACACAGATTTCTTCGTCAGAATCCACGGAATCCAATTCTGCCTATTCCGAAGCGAATGCAGATTTCCCAAGTCACAAGTCACGCTCCCATGTACAAGTCCAGTGAAAGCTGACAACTTCTTCAAGGGGCACAGGGCATGTAAAGATGCCCGCGTAGGGACGGAGCTGTCATTTACAACTCTCAGACAACACTTACAAGCTTGTCGACACGCGATCGAAGATTGCCACGCTCCGGTGATGCTGTGGGTGCCTTTGGCGCCTCGGCCTTGGGTAGAAGATGTGCCACGACTTCCCGCTCATGTCCCATTAGTGTCTTGCCATACCGTACGCTCACTGCACAGGTACACGCCAACGCACGCACAAAGTACATGCCATGGCAGACAGGGGCAGTCAGAGAATGAGCCAGTGTGTGTGTGTGTGTGTGTGTGTGTGTGTGTGTGTGTGTGTGTGTGTGTGTGTGTGTGTGTGTGTGTGTGTGTGTGTGTGTGTGTGTGTGTGTGTGTGTGTGTGTGTGTGTGTGTGTGTGTGTGTGTGTGTAGACCAGGCTGAATAGTGACGGTCAATTCTTCAGCCTTGCAAGCTGTTGAATGGTGCAATCCCAGCACAAGTTGCTATGGCTTCTGCCGTAGCATTGCTATCATCGCCTCTGGCGATGGGCGTCAAAGGCCAAAGGTGTGTACGTATGTGTGTGTGCATGTGCGTGTGTGTGTATGAGAGAGAAAGAGAGAGAGAGAGAGAGTAGTAGTAGTAGTAGTAGTAGTAGTAGTAGTAGTAGTAGTAGTAGTAGTAGTAGTAGTAGTAGTAGTAGTAGTAGTAGTAGTAGTAGTAGTAGTATTAGTAGTAGTAGTATTGCATTGCTGCTCCATCTACATGGCTGTATTTGTGTTTCACATCTCCATTTCAAGTTTCCTAATAAAGATTGTGTCAAGTAGTAGTAGTAGTAGTAGTAGTAGTAGTAGTAGTAGTAGTATTAGTAGTAGTAGTATTAGTAGTAGTAGTATTTATATCTCTCTTTCTTTCTTTCTCTCTTCAATTACTTGTGTGCTTACCGTGGTATTGTTTTCTGCCCGTAAAAGTGGTTCGGTCAGTAGTAGTATTTATTATTTTACTAGGGCAATCCCCACAGACTGTGAGAGATAGATAGATAGATAGATAGATAGAGAGAGAGAGAGAGATCCTGCAACGAAGTATTCATAACCATGATGCTGTCAGGACTTATGCTGTGTTCCCAACTGGCGCGTGGACGCGGTACGCTTGCGGTTCATTTGTGCCCAAACGTGCGCTCAGGCTTTCAAAAAAAAAAAAACCGCAATTCGACTCGTGTTTAGGGCGTGCGGCGCCTTCGAGTACTAATGTGTTGACCCCGCCAGTCACTTTGACTGGCGGGGTCAAAACATGTTGGAATTTCCATTTCGGCACGTTTCTGTACGCATGGCGCCCAAAAGTCAGCGAAAATACGCACAAACACGTGGTTTCGAAATATCCGGTCTACATATTCAAGCTCCTACACAGTAAACAGATGCATTAGAAAATTAGATGCAGACATCACTTACAAGTCCTTCTCAGGCCAGTGTAGAGCAGATCTGCAGAGCACAGCCACACACAGGGGTACACACAGGGAAATACACATACATGCATTTGGACTTGGTCACTGCCAAAACTGGTCACGTTGGTCGCCCTGGGAGAGGGGAGAGAGATTCAAATGGAATCCTGGTAAGAGGACTCAATTGGCAAACGCAGGCACCAGCACACGAGAGATATCACAGCAATGATCATAATTATGATTGCATTCCGTCCTTCAGAACGAGTGACATGAAACACTTCAACACTATCACATGTTTTGGTGTGTGCATGATACATTCATCGTTCTCGCGTGCAACTGCAGCTTGAATAGTGACAACTTGCCAGTAACAACAAGATGGCTGTGCCCAGTGTTGCAAAAGAAGGATCCACAAGCAATTCTAACCCAGTACAGTACTGTCAGGCGCCGAAGAACGGCCAGGCTAGAATTTCACCAGTTTTTTAACCCATTCAGCGCTACTGGGCCTTGCCTATGGTACTCTGCATATAAAATGCTAAAAACAGGGCCAATAGCAAGTTCTAAAACTCCAGGGTTCTGGCAACTGGGGTCCTCAAATATTTTGGAAATGATTGCCAAGTTTATCAACCACAGGGTGACAGAATCGATACAGTCCCCAAAAAGAATAGCGCCTCACAATAGGGGACGCAAGTTTGCTCAAATTGCGTGAAATACGCCAAATGCGTGAAATTGCAGCTGAAAGATCGCTGAAAAGAGAAGAAAAAAAGACGCATAGTGTTTCCAAGCTGGATTCGTACCAACGACCTATCGTACAAGAGGCAGGATCATGATCCAACTGACTAATAGTGCTTTTACACACCAGACAGTGCCAGAAATCACTATATATCCCATGACGTCTATAGACGTCATCCCGCGCATGGGGGGCATTTTCAATGACGTCTATAGACGTCATCAGCGTTCAATGGGTTAAGAACGGCCAGGCTAGAATTTCACCAGTTTTTTAAGAACGGCCAGGCTAGAATTTCACCAGTTTTTTAAGAACGGTCCAGGCTGGATTTTTGCAGATCAGATCGTAAACCGTAATGTACACTATAATGTACACTCAGACGTATCACTCTGCATAAATGTACATGTAAGACTGTACCATCGAATAAGAACGAAACCGCTGTGGTCGCTAAAGATAAGAACGGGCTAGGCTATAACTCTGGCCCCCGTTCTTCATCATTTGTGAGAACTAGACCTGGTCTAGTGAGAAGGCATTCTACTGCCTGTAATTCTGGTGAAGTAAAATAAAGTAACAACACCCCCCCCCCCCCCCCAGTTCTTCGGCGCACAACAGTACTGTAGCCTTGTATTTCCGGGACAGTGCCCTACCGATTAGGCTACCGGGGATCACACACACACACACACACACACACACGCACACACACACCCGTGGCTCCTTCTTGCTACACCTGTGACCAAGGTAACTATGTGAATAACGACGTTCTCATAAATGATATACCCTGGTGATAACCATAATAACCAACCTTTTGCTGGCTGATTCAGGAACGGAGCGGCAAGGTCCTTTGGCTGCTTGCCGCAGTAGTCGCGCAGGTCGCAGTCCGCACCTGCCTCGACCAGCAGACGAACGATACGCTCGTGGCCGAGCCTGGACGCAATGTGAAGCGGTGTGCTGCCGTTCTGTACAAGGCGTGGAACGGACAAGCCAAACAAGTCACAAAGATGTACAGAAAGAGACAACAATCAATTGGAGGGAGCACAGCAGAAGACTAGGTAGACAACATGAGCTCCACACTCCAACAAAGAACACACACATCAGTATTGGCTATAGCTACTACCAAGAGTCCATAACCCCCCAGAGTGTGCAACTCGTGATCCTTCTCAGCACAAATCAGTGCCGCAACGAAATCCAAACTTCATACGTCATGTAGTGAGTAGCGGATGTACCAGATATGCACATGGCCCCATCCGCCCATGCTTGACTATGGACCGGATGACGCAGTGTTTGGATTTCGTTGCGCCAGACCCCAACCTGGAGTTGCACACTCTGGGGGGTTATGGACTCTTGCTACTACCTAGAGTACATAACCAAGAGTGAGCAACTCCTATCTTGAGCTGCGATGGGTTCACCCACGGCGGATTTTTTTCATTGCATCATTCTTTGGCAGAAATTATGATGAAGTGCGTATGCTTTCCCCGCGCTTGTTTTGTAGATACGGTGAGAGTTCATCAGGTTTAGAACACATCGATCTATCGTCCATTGTTCTGCTTTGACTACCGTAGCTGTAATGTACACATTCTTCTTACTTTGATCTCGGGCTACGCATAATGGCATCAGTGAGCCAAACAGCCGCTAAAGACTGAGGTCATAAAAAAATTCCCTACTACCCTATAGAAGAAGACGCGGCCCAACCTGCAAAAAATTAGCTCGAGCTGGGTGCAGATACGCGTGCACCCTGCATTGCTTTGCTGGATTAAAGCTCTGATCCTTGGTGCATTGAAAGGTATTCAGCCCAAGTAGCATAGCCTGCGCCCCCGCTCAAACTCAAAAGAGCCACTGCACACGACACGCACTTTGTTTTTTTTGTTTGTTTTTTGTAGTCCCCTATGTTCTCTTGCTGTTGCTGTTGTTGTTGTTGTTGCTGTTGTTGTTGTTGTTGTTGTTGTTGTTGTTGTTGTTGTTGTTGTTGTTGTTGTTGTTGTTGTTGTTATTGTTGTTGTTGTTGTTATCTTCCATTCTATGTAGGCATGTGCACTTTCATAAAAAAAATTAAAAAACGCACAATTTTCCATGTTATAAAATAAAAAAGTAAAAAAAAACACTGCGTGGTCCGGCTTACTACAGTGGTGAAAACTTTAAAAAAACCCACGCCAACTTGGTGCTGCGCTCACATTGCAAACACGCAGCACGCGCTGGCAACACTACGCAACCGAGACCGCTAGAATTTGGTGCCGCACCCGAGCACGAAAATCAGGGGTCGGATTTCAGTTGCCACCGCCGCACTTCAAAGTAACGGCCTGGTCACGCAGGTCATAGTCGGTGCTGAGTTTCAATGAAAATTTCTTTAAAGAGTTGGTGGACAAGCCATCGATTATCCACTCTCATTGTAATGTCAAAATAGTATTCTTTCTAGACCAAAGAGTGCTCTTTGGTCTACAAAGAATACTTTTTTGAAAATTTCTTTCAAAGTTTGAGTGGGTAGGAGAGAGCTAACTGTGACTGTTTCGTGAAAACTACCGTATCTACCCGAAAATAAGTCGCACCTTTTTGCACTGAACTTCAAGGACAAAAAAAGGTGCAATGACTTACAAGCGGGTGCGACATTCTACTTGGGTGAATGTGTTGAAACAATATGGCTCAAACCTGAAAATGGGGGTGCGACTTATAATGAGTAATGGTGTGAACCCTACAATCGGGGAAATACGGTATTCAGAACAGCGGATGGCCGTAGCTGTCAGGGTACAGTGAAACCTGTCAAGGCGACCACTCGGATAAGGCGACCACCTGTCCTAGAAGACCACTAAAACCAGGATCAATGGATGCTATTTCCAGTCAAATGACCCTGGATAAGGAGGCCACCTGGTAACAGAGACCACGTTTTGAAGGTCCCTTGAGCAGTCGTCTTAGACAGGTTTCACTGTGCCAGATGACAGGCACACTGACCACTCCAGTTATAAGTTGATGTTCTACTTTAAGCTGCGGGAACGTGACGCGAAGAACCCCGGGAACTCTCTTCTCGTTCCCGTAACGTACAGGGGACCTGTTCTGCTCTACGTTCACGTAGAGAGAAATCACGTGGAATGTGTACTGGGAATTTCCAATACCCAAAACACGCGAAGCCGTAGACTCTAACCAGGACACCTGCTCTCTACGTGATTTCTCTACGTTTCACGTATAGCAGAACATCACGAGTACCACTTACACTTGAGACGGGAGAGGGGTCGGCTTGATAGCGCAGCAGCACCTCAACCATACGGCCATTCTCCAGCTTGGCAGCCCAGTGCAGTGCCGTGTAGCCGAATATGAAGTCGGCACGGTTCACAATCGTGGGCGTGTCCGCCAGCATGGTTTTCATGGCGCGAATGTTCTGAGCCATAGCCAGGTTGCTCCACTTGCGCTCCAGAATTGCCAGCTGCAAAACGAATGGGTGGGCAGACAAGTAGAATGACGATGTAGACATCAGATACGGAAAAAATAGTCCAGTATTATGCAGCGACAACACCAGTGAATGCAACAACAAAAAGGGTAATGCAACTTAGCAAGTAACCCACAAACATCTCTGCGTCCTTGTCTCTCTGTATCGGTCTCTCTGGCTATCGCTATCCCTGTCTGTCCACATATGTCTCTCTCTGTCTCTCTCTTGTCTGTCTCTGTCTTTCTTTCTCCGTCATTGTGTGTGTGTGTGGTACATGGTGTGTGTGTGTGTGTGTGTGTGTGTGTCTCTCTCTCTCTCTCTCTCTCTCTCTCTCTCTCTCTCTCTCTCTCTCTCTCTCTCTCTCTCTCTCTCTCTCTCTCTTTCTCTGTCTCTCTCTCTCTCTGCCTGTCTGCCTCTAATCAGGAGCTATGGTGGTGGAGCAAATGATTTTCCTCCAATACGGGTAAACCTGGTAAGACCTTTGAGAGCAGAGATTCTTCCCAAACCAGTCTTTCCATGGCTGGACCAGACTGACATGTTACTAATTAGATCTCTTTTCTCACCCTAACCTTCATATTCGCCTTTGCTCACGTGGTTGCCTGTCCGTCTGTATACATATCTAACTCTGTTTTGTGCTTTGCTCTGTTCCCATACCCCACCACCAACATGCTTCAATTGGGTATGTGTCCAGCGGGGAGTAGTACAGTAGAGTCGCGCACTGAAGAACGTGGAGCCCAAGAACATCCAGCCTGAAATTCTAAGAACGCCACAGCCTAAAGCTAAGAACGGCGGTGTTGGTTTTCTCGCAGCTTTTGAGATACATATGATCCAGGACGGGTTGTTTCTAAGAACGTGCTATAAGAACGCAGCCAGATTGCTGGCAAAATAAGAACGTCCCAGGCTAACCCCTTGGAAACAACGTTCTTGGGCGCGCGACTCTACTGAAGCACATAGGAAGACAACACGGGCGACTGCTACACTAAATCACGTGGCCCTCAACCCCGGATTGCAGTCGCCCTTGGGGCAGGGCAGGGCTGGCTTACACACGCTTGCATATGGCATTGCTTGTCTGGACCATGCTTAGGATCAGCAGGTCAATGCCAGGATCGTGGTCGCAAGTTGCACAGACCACGGATCACTTAGAGCATTCAAATCCGGGGTCGAAACGTGCATCGCATCGAGTACTATGCTATTTTCTCTCGTATTGTCTCCTCAGCGTCCAGTGGGCATTGCATTTGTATTTATGGATTCTCCACAGGCCTTAGCCTAAGTCGAGGGAGTCTCTGTAGGGCAGGTGTATGGTGCAGCCAGGGCAGTTACAGCTGTGCTCACTGGAATCCGACCCAACGCGCAAACCGGCATGCCCTGGACCGGTTACGACTACATCACTGTATGTGTACATGTGTGCGTCCAGCTGCAGTCGTACCAATTCCAGGGTGTCAAGGGCTGTGTGCATGTTGAAGGCACCAACAATACTCTGAGGGTCGGATTCCACCGAGCACTACTGTAGTTGAGTAGCTTTAAAGGGCTAGTGAATGCCAACAAGCAGACACTGGAGCGGCGGCATGTAGGGACGCAGCTAACAGCCACTCGGCCTGCACAACCAAGCCAACTGCCCGCGTACAATCTCCACCGACTTACATCCGCCACACATGACGTCGATCCAACGTGGATGTCGGGCAGCTGCGCCTGATCCAGGGAGATCTGCCGCAGCACCTCCATCTGCATAGACGACAAGCCATTGTAGTGGTAAACGCTCGATATCGTGTGGACCGTTTCACTGGACTGCGACGCCTGCACCTTCCCACGGACACTTGCAACCGCTTCACTGCCACCCCTCGGTTTGCTGCTCTCTGCTGCTGCAGCTGCTTGGCCCCCCCGTTCCTTGTCTTTCTCTCGATCTCTCTGACCATTAGGGCTGAAAGGTGAGTTTTGATTTTGTGTGGCTAAGTGTGATGTCCGGTTAACAGTAGACATGGAGGACTTCCGCTGCCGTATCTCCGACAGTGTGCTGAGGCGTGACCTGGGTTGGGGCTGGTCCACATCGCTCGTATCGAAGCTCTTGTTCGAGTTGACGCTGCGCACACTCATGGCCTTGTCCAGTGTGCCAATGCGACGCATGTCACCGATGCTACCATATTCACGGCGATTTTTCGTCGTCAGCGCTCGCGTCGGGCTCGCCATGTCGAGAAGACGCTCGCGATACCACACAAAATCAGATGACCTGTGACCCAGGCAAGAGCAAGACTCTCTCAGCTAACTGTTCAGCACTAATTTTCTTCAATTGTTTCTCCTCCCCTCTTCTTCGGCATCTGCGAGATTTGCGCACAAAACGCGGCGGCGACTGCACCTCCTGTCCAAAATGGTTCCTGTCGGATGTTCCAGAGTCCAGAGGCAAACATCTCCGGGAAGCAAACAGCTTGATGAGTCTCCTGCGTCTGCTTTTTCGAATCCAGAAATACTAACAGCAAACTATTCCTCAGTGGCTTTGCAAACCACGGAGCCAAATCAAAAAAAAGTAATCGCCGAAGTTTCAAAGGCGGTTGAAGACGTAGACAGGCATGATCACTTGAACCTGTGATGAGCAGAGTCAAAACGGCGTGTTGTCAATTTCGCGTATACGGAATCTGTACGACAAACGTACAGATCAAGGTACACAAAGCTGCGCGTCCTTTTCTGTGTGAACGCGCGTGTAGATCTACCATTTCTTATTCAGCTTGATTTGGATTTACATTAATCTTTAGTAATTTTTACACTCACTGGAGAAAATTAGCTTCCAAAAGTAATCATCTCATCATCAGTCTATTCTTCTTCGTCACGAACTCTGCAAACTCGATCTGGGCTGCTTGGATATGGCGAAGACGTCGTTCGCTGTGACAGTAATCTCCTTCACGAATGCCTCCTGGTAGCGTAGTGGAATACAAGCATCGACGAAAACACTTTCGTTTCAGTATTGTGCAAGTCAGTGGCATCATGGACTGGCCGGGATGAATAGGCAAGAGGTAAAATTGATAACTGTTTTCAGTGAGGATGTGACCATGTTTTAGTGGACATGTTTTTTTTCAAAGAAACCGGCAACCTAGCTCGATGAACATGTAGATCTACAGTGCATGATTTTGTTTGTACTACATGTGCATGTGCATGTATGTATAATAAATGTAGAGCAGAAGGATTTATTGAAATTACATACCAGTATACGGACCGAGGTTTTTATAACTGGTATGTAATTGCAATAAATCCTGAGGCTACTACATTTATTATACATAATGTTGACCTTCACTTTCCCTTAAAGGAGTATTTTATTACCGTAAAGTACCGCCAGAGCGCCCCACCATCTCATCCTTTCGTGGTCGTATTGTGGAGGTGGTCTGCTGTCTGTAGGTCATACGACATGAACCTTGTACACATATTGCACGTTTTGCAGTCAATCCGTACCTTCAAGAGGACACAAGCTCCACACAAAAACCTGCCAAGTGTGACCTTGGTACACTAAGATTCCCACATCGTACACACTTCGGTGCACTCTGCCATACGATTTTCCTTTCTCTGGCTGTAAAATCAAGGTGGGGCGCTCTCGCGAGACGGGGCGCTCTGGCGGTACTTTACGGTAACAGTATTATTGGCCCTATGTATACAATAAATGCTCCGGCCTTGGGTTTATGACCAATAAAAACTATTATAAAAACCGAGGTCCCCCGGCCGAGGTTTTTATAATTAGTTTTTATTGGTCATAAACCCAAGGCCGGAGCATTTATTGTATTTAGAATCAACCAGTAAAAACTCCTACTCAATCTCCAACAACAAAATTAGTGGACAGCTGTTATTTGTGTTGCTATGACAACTCGTGTGCTGGACGAGTATTTGTTGTCATTGGTTCAATTTCTTTTACTCTTCATAGGCTATAAGATCATTTTCCTTATTCGGTCTATTTATAACCAGTATCTATAATGAGAGTGTGGTCTGTCTCCATGGTTACCGGTGTTCATTTCATAACTATAGCCACTTCTCCTTGTTAGACCTTATCTGGAAGGCCCATTCTTGCATATTCCAACAGCAGCCAAGGGAGCTAGCTCTCTTGGTTATGCGGACTGGGTCCGATCCTAAAAAGCTGTTTATATGAACTGTTTTTATGAACGGTTTTATTGGATAGGATATGATTACTGTACTGGCAATATTATATGGTCGCAGTGAGGCCATGAAGCGTTACATTGGCACATGTTTACCGCACGTAGGGCGTTACATGCAAAGTCGCACAGGAGCCGTTACACAGGTTTCTATATTGCCGCAGTCCTTTTTTTGCTATTGGCGCATCATTTTTTGCAAACTGCAATGAAAAGATCGCCGCACCCCGCCGGACGCGCGTTACGAACGCAACGAAAATTTGTCGCACTAGCCTGGTCACGCGTTACGCCGCACCCCCCTGCGTTACGCGGCAACATATATTGCCAGTACGGTATGTTGAATAAACGAGGTTTGTGTCAATGGGAGATTGACTTTCAGTTTTTACGAGTTGATTCTAAATTTAAATAGTGGTATTTTATAAACAGTATTTATTGGGTCAAAAGCCAATAAATACTGTTTTTAATACTCCTTTTTAGGGAAAAGTGGAGTGCTACATGGAAAAGTGCAGTGGTATTTATTGAGTCAAAGCAAATTTATTTGAATTGGATATTGTTGATGGTGTGGTCACTAATGAGTGAGGGTGTTTATCAACGGTCAATATATTACACTATATAATTTTTATAGTCTACAATCATGCAGGTGCTTTATTTGTATGGCCAAGAGTGTAGTCATACCCTAGGAGTAACCTGATACGTCCGGTGGTGATACTCTACGTTTTTTTCTAACGTAATTGCGTAATGCGGAACCTCTCTAATGACGTATTATGTATGTTCATGATCAGATGGGTAGAGCTCGGCCGGGGTTCTAGCCAGGTAAAAATTACTAAAAAATAAGGGGATGCTACAAAAGTAGTACAGTACCCCAGGGAGTCATAGCATCAAGATTAGACTAGGCTAGGGAGAGGGCAAAGGACAATAGACCCGGAATGATGTGCATTTTGACCCCGGATTTGGAAGTTCTATTATTATTATTATTGAAAAGAATTCGGGTGGACACACCCATTCCCATAGCGCTGCACATCACATCCGAACCAGTTCCGTTATTTTTACAACGTTTCGGCACTTGGCCATCGTCAGGTAATAACAATGAATACCGAAACGTTGTAAAAATAACGGAACTGGTTCGGATGTGATGTGCAGCGCTATGGGAATGGGTGTGTCCACCCGAATTCTTTTCACAGATGAAGCTGCAGGAAGCCTCAGCCCTTCTTCAAATTATTATTATTATTAATTCAACATCTCCTGGCTCGTCAGAAGACTGCCAATATATTTGAGAAGTCGGGTGGTAGCCAACCACGGCGAACTGAATAATAAGGAGAGAAACAAAGAGAGTACTATGTGATACATGGTCTATGCAACTCGCGATTGCGATTGCGGTCTTGACCTGCTGACCCAATCATCTGTCCCCACAGCTACAGGATACCGCGATTCCGCGGCCACGCAATTTTCCGCGTTATTGGCTGTTGTCCGCGTTTTCGAGAGATTTTGCATAAAACCCGAGTTATTCATGGAAATGGAAAAGAAAACAATACAATCATGATGTTGAAAATGTAGTTCAAAGTCGTACCGGTGCATGCGTTTGTACTTGTACAACAAAGTTGTATACTTGCATGAAACTGCATGCTAAAGATTTAATTTAAAAGTTGTACAAATGACCGAGAATTTGTGCACAATGACCGCATTATACTGCATATTTGCCGCATAATCCCGCATAATGGCCTGTTTTCGCCCGCGTAATTATGCGCATAATTTTAGGATTTCATCCGCGTTATTCTGTGGGGACAGAATCATGAATGTTCTCCAGCTCCCAGCGGCTCTCTCAAGTCGTTTGCATTCTTTATCCAATGTGCCTAATCTGTCCATTCTATACATCCTCACTGCACTCATAACAGCAAGGGCCGTCTTCAGGAAAGAAGGCCCGATCTAGACTTGACGAGATTACCGTAAAGTACCGTTGATCCGCCCCCACGCCATGTCGCTTTTCAGCTGGGTTTTCGGCAGGGGGCGGGAATTAGATAAAGGCTGTCAAGTGCAGTACGGTGTACAACAACGTAGAGGATCAGACTCGATGTGCTGGATTGTGCACATGTTCATCCTGGATTGGCAAGTGTTATGTACAGCAGTGCATGCATCGGTTCAACATCGTATTTCGTTGTATTCGCCGAAGTCGCTTCACAGGTAGAAAATAGACAGGGGGCAGGAATTAGAGAGGGGGCGAATCAACGGTACTTTACGGTATATACATGTACGTGACAAGTTATGAGTACGAACTACGAACACTCTGCCAAAAGGGTGAAATCTGTGAGTGATGAAAATGTCTCTAAAATCAACATAATTATAATCGCCCACACCCACAGCATGGTACATGTACTCGTACTACGGTGATGATGGTAGCATGACTCTGATATTGGCGGGAAAGTGGTGCAGTAGTCAGCGCAGTGATGTCATGTGATGTACATAGGACGGACGGCGGCACTGCTGCTGCACTGCTTGGCGTGGCGGGCAGTGGTGTAGCGTGTTGCACAGGTGTGGGAGGTTTTCAGACTGCAATGACGCCTTGAAATAGTGTGAGGTGAGATTGGCATACAAAAACTAAAAAGTCCTCACCGCTCAACTCCCCACATCCCTTCCTGAAATTAAACTTGTCACACTATTCCTATGAAATGTTCAAATTTGAAACTCGGATGTTGAGCCATAAATAAATGTAAGAAGGAAAAGGACATATCATGTGGATACAAGTTAAGAGCAACTCTCCATCACTGCAACTGGACACTATAATTATACAGTCAGAAAGTGCAATAACTAGGCACAAAACTGACAGAGTACTGGGACATTCGACGTCCTGACACCTAGCTTCAACACATCTCCGTAGCGCTAACCGACAGCCTTCCAACTTGGAAGGTTCAAGCCGTTTTGGAAAGACCAAAGAGGTTATTGCACTTTCTGACTGTATATAGTATCCAGTTACAGTGATGGAGAGTTGCTCTTAACTCGTATCCATATGTCCTCTTACAAATGTTCAAATGCGCACAGTTAAAAAAATATATTCATTGGTTTGAGGGAAAGATGCAAACGGGAAAAGTCTGAAGAAGAAAATGACTGTCATCACCTGCAGGACTCGAACCAGGGACCTTTGCTCGAGATATTTCTCAATTCAATAACTACCGGGTCATTCATCAAGGGAGTGGGTTCTAACTTCTCAGGTACCCAGCCCAACCGTTTGACCTCTAGATTACGCCATAACTAGAGTCAACTCCTGACATAACGAATACCATTGTGCAGGAACATTAGTTCTATTGCCGAAGTTTGCTATACCAGAAATGCACACGCGCGCGCGCGCGCGCACACACATACGCACACACACACACTTGTACTTTTTGCTCACTGCCAAAACTGGTCACGTGGGTCTCCCCGGGAGAGGGGAGAGAGATTCAAAAGGAATCTTGGAAAGATGACTCAATTGGCTATTGAACCGCCAAACGGCCGACACCCCCTGAAATCCCCTAAACTCTGGGTGGACTTGAAAATGATCCCACTTATGGGCTCATCACACCTCAGTAAGTGGGTGAGGACAAGGTGCAGAAAAAAGGATCGACGGCATCAGGGTATCCGTCCCGGGATCCAACTGCAGTTACCCCTGCCCCCAGTGAAGGTAATACTTGCTACTAGTGTGGGTCACACACACACACACACACACACACACACACACACACACACACACACACACACACACACACACACACACACACACACACACACACATACATGCGCACACACACACACACATACACGCGCGCACACACACACACACACACACTATACAAGCAACACGTCATTACTGGCATGTGGTCCATGACTGTATTGCACTCAGTTACCATGCAGCCCTACAAGAAATGGTTCGATACAAAGGGTCAACTGTGGATGGGTTCAAACAGGGGTACGGCCAATGGTTCGCTATATCACCCAATTTGCTACTAGTATAATGCGAGTTTGTTGGAGTCGACTGTGGATTGAAGTCTTACGCAGTCCACTTATACACCATATCCAGTGGAAGAAATCAATCTCTGCAGCTCTACTGGAGTTGCTTCCTCCGCACAATCATCAAGCGACTGATCTGATCTGAGCCAGTGATCATGATGCTCGTCAGAAAGCATGTCCACTTATAGTAGTGTGATGTCAGTTGTAGCTCCTGTGCACTAGCCTTGAAGGGACCTTCAAAATGTTGTCTCTGTCATCAGTTGTGGCCGCCTTAAAAAATAAAAATAAAAATAACCTACGTGGAGATAATAATTTTAATATAGCTATGAATAGGATGAAGGCCGCAGACATCACGCAACTACGTTACTTGTTTGACATGTATTACTGTGTATTTTCTGGGTTTTCAATAATACTTTTGTTATAAAATACACAGTAAAATACATGTCAAACAAGTAACGTAGTTGCGTGATGTCTGCGGCCTTCATCCTATTCATAGCTATATAAAAATAAAAAGTAAATTATCGTGTCCGTTCCCGAAGGGAACTCACGACGGCCGCCAACACCCGGTAAACCCTAGGTGGTCGCCTTATCCATGGCTAATTGACTGGAAATAGCATCCCTTAGTCCTGGTTGCAGTGGTCTTCTACAAGTTCTAGGACAGGTGGTCGCCTTGGCAGATTTTACTGTACATACATGTATTGCTGCTGTACATCATTCATGCTGTACTGCTGTTAAAGGGGAAGTTAAGGCAAAAATTAAAATTTCACCAGTTGTAGTCTTCGGGGTGCTGAGTCGAATGGTCTTGGTCCGAGGAAGCTGAGACGCTCCCTTCCTACTTGAATCCCAATCGAACTCGCGCACTTCCACCGAAACTGGGTGACTGCGCCCTACTAGATGGGGATTTGTATGCAAAATGTCACTAAAAGCGCCATTTCGTTCTTATAAAAGCATGGATGACCGCCATTGGCCCATATGTTGTAGTCTTTTGGACGCTGAGTCGACTGGTTTTGGTCCGAAAAGGCTGCGATGCAGCGTTCCTTCTCTACTCCCAATCGAACATGGTTGAAGAAGCGGTCACGTGGTCCTGGGTGCCCAAATCACCTGGTCACCACGCCAGCAGGTGACAACTTTCACACCACGGTTCAACTCGAGTTCAACTCAAGCATGCAAGTGACAGGACTGCACCCAAAAAAGGCCAAACAGGCTAGTAAGTTGTACCCTGCAGGCACGGTGACCAGCTGACTGGTGTACGCAGGAGCACGTGACCGCTTCTTCAACCATGTTCGATTGGGAATAAAGGAGGAACGCCGCATCGCAGCCCTTTCGGACCAAAACCAGTCGACTCAGCGTCCAAAAGACTACAACATATGGGCCAATGGCGGTCATCCGTGCTTTTATAAGAACCAAATGGCGCTTTTAGTGACATTTTGCATACAAATCCCCATCTAGTAGGGCGCAGTCACCCAGTTTCGGTGGAAGTGCGCGAGTTCGATTGGGATTCAAGTAGGAAGGGAGCGTCTCAGCTTCCTCGGACCAAGACCATTCGACTCAGCACCCCGAAGACTACAACTGGTGAAATTTTAATTTTTGCCTTAACTTCCCCTTTAACATGTTGTGAACATTGACATCCGTTGAGAAGTCAAGCGGCCACGGGGCCCTGGTCTTGCAGCCGCGAGCACTGCTGGTCCATGTGTTACAGTGGTTACGTCAACTACAGTGAATGTACGTGAACTACAGTGAATGTACGTGAACTACATGTATACAGTGCATGTACACGCTAAAATCAGAACGGGCGCCGGCCCCGGTCATCCCATCGAGTTTCAATGCCCACGACAGTAGTAGATCTACGGGGAGGACAGACTGAGGGCTAGCCGTGCAATGGCATAGATTAGAAGAAGATCGGTTTGGTAGTACTAAATAACACCATGATTGCACCACCTTACCCAGGCCGGTACATATTGCAAGCTAGGATCTAGTCTAGATGGTGCACACTTGAACCAGCCAACACACCCCTTGGATAGGTGAGTGCTCCTGCTGTTCACAGCATGCACAGTGCAATGTACTGAAGTTGGTATGATCAATGTTCATCATCTACACACAATGTGGGCATACTACCCTGGTCTACATGCACTAGGCTGTCATGATGTAGAGGTATGATGTCATGATGTAGAGGTATGATGTCATGACCTTATGTCTGATATATAAGGTATGGGACGGGGTGCTTATCTTTGAAATGGCAAAACTGGATGCATGGCTCGCGGACCATGGAACTTCTAGTAGTGTTGAACAAAATGGGTGTCAAAGAAAACGGGTATTCCGCGGAGTGAGCACTACGTCGCCGCTGCTGCTGCAGCTGCGGCTGCAGTCTACCAAATGCCAAAGCAAAGTGCAATGGTGCAAGCAGGATTTGGATTGGCAATACATTGTACATTACTGCAGTGCTGCTCAATGAAATCCAGTCGAGTTTCTCAAGTGCACGCCGGGCGTTGCGCAGCCCTAGACCTGAGAACACTGGGCGGCGAGATGGTGCACGGCGCAGACTTGAGTGCCACGGCTGGATTTCATTGAGCAGCAGTGTGCGACTGGCTGCGGTCTCACCAGCCGAGGTCTAACACTGCTCTCTATCTATATTGCACTCTGCTTGCAACGTCCAATGTTCGCCGCGTCAGGTCCGAACTTGTCTGAATGCAGTACGGTCCATGCCTGAAGGTGTGACATGCTCACTGGCTCCTGCTTTCATTATCTGATGCTCGCCCCGGCAAATCTGCTGACCTCTCGTCTCGATCCAGTGACGCACACTTGAAGCCATGAGGTGCTCACGGGACGAACATACGTGGCTCGCACGTTACTACTAGTGTGCAGATTCAGGTTTTAGGCACGTTGAGCAGAGCGGCGGCTTGTCCAGTACACATGTCGCCAGCCTGTCAGATTTGCTGCGCACCAGTGCACACCAGTGCAGCACGTCTGGTCGGACATGTCGCCCAAGTCAATGTGAGAGTACGCCGCTGTATGGTCCCCATTGCCTCACATGACCAGTCCACCACTGCCGTGCGCATGATGCCAGCACTAGCAAAGGATGCTAATTGACATACTAGTACTGCATTATGGCCAGTTCACAGTCCAACGCTGTATGCATACATGATGTTAGCGCTAGCAAAGGATACTAATTGACTTGCATGCTGCTTCATACGACTAGTTCACCACTGCCACTGCCGTGTGCATGATTCCAGCACTAGCACTGAAGGATGCTCATTGGTCTGTATGGTCACATTGACTCACATGCTGCTTCATATCTACGCCTATCGGTCTAGTCCACCACTGCTGCGTGCATGATACCAGCTCAGCACTTGCAAAGTACACGACTCGTGTGCTGCTATCGTGACTAGTCCGCCACTGCTGCAGTGCGTGCATGACACCAGCTCAGCACTTGCAAAGTACATAGCTCGTGTGCTGCTATCATGACTAGTCCGCCACTGCTGCAGTGCGTGCATGACACCAGCTCAGCACTTGCAAAGTACACGACTCGTGTGCTGCTATCGTGACTAGTCCGCCACTGCGGTGTGCATGACGCCTGCAGCTCAGGACAAGCACCGGATGCTCACTTGTCTAGACAGCCTGTCCCCGTACTGGACATGCTCACGCCGAGGGACACTTGCATATCGCCATCGGATGGTGAGGATGCATTGCTCTGCAAACACACAAAGATGAAAAAAAGGAGTACCGGTAACAGAAAACAACCCAGTTACACAAATAGAACACGTCACTGACATGTGGTTCGAAGCTCTCTCCCTGCCTCCCTCCTCTCTCTCTCTCTCTCTCTCTCTCTCTCTCTCTCTCTCTCTCTCTCTCTCTCTCTCTCTCTCTCTCTCTCTCTCTCTCTCTCTCTCTCTCTCTCTCTCTCTCTCTCTCTCTCTCTCTCTCTCTCTCTCTCTCTCTCTCTCTCTCTCTCTCTCTCTCTCTCTCGTTGCCTAGGTACTGCTTACTGTAAAGTGAGAAACTTTCGCTGGAGACAAAATGTCGCTATTTTCTTGATGAACCTACTTTTGCAACTATAAATCGCCGCAAGCTGCTCTGTGCATTGTTCTGGGCAATATAAGATCCAACTGAAGAGGTTGAATCGCGAAAGCTTCTCATCGTGAACCAATGCAATTCCTAGAAACTCAAAAATTCTCACGCAGCAAAAGTCTCTCGCTTTACCGTACTCAAAGTCAAATGACCCGTACTATGCGAGTGGTGTACACTGCTCGTGTACCATACTGCAGGGTCCTCAACACATAGTACAGTGTACTAGTGTAACACTCTCTTAGTACGTACCCGCGGTAAGACGTACACCTGGCTTGTACAGTCTGTTTGTACAGTCCTTTTTTGGCGCATGGCACACAGGGTTTCCTATCATCAAGAGTACATAACCCCCCAGAGTGTGCAACGCCGATCCAGCTCTGTGTAGGGTCTTGGTCGAGCGGAATCGGATCTTCTGATGTCATGCGTACACTTCACACCAGCGCAAGGCCGGTCTCGAGGCAGGGCACCATTGTTTTTGATCCAAGAGTACCCGCGACTCCCCGGGTTCCCTTCAGATGTGTACGGTAATATGACGCAAAGATCCGATTCCGCTCGACCAAGACCCTATGCAGAGCTGGATCTGGCGTTGCACACTCTGGGGGGTTATGTACTCTTGCTATCATACATGTATTTGCAATTACAAATGTGTACAGGTACGAAGTACTAGTACTCTGATAAGATAGTCTAACTTATGTACAGAGTAGCGCACTCTTGGGGTTATGGACTCTTGATGGTGGAGTGTTGAGTATGCTTGCGCACCAGGTCATGTACTCATGACAGAAAGCGTGAGTTTCAAAATCAGGAGAAAATGTTGAACTGTCACTGCTGGGATGACAACTACCAAGAGTACATACCCCCCCCCCCCCCAGAGTGTGCAACGCCTGATCCAGCTCTGCATAGGGTCTTGGTCGAGCGTGATCGGATCTTTTGATGTCATGCGTACACTCCACACCAGCGCAAGGCCGGTCTCGAGGCAGGGCACCGTTGTTTTTGATCCGAGAGTACCCGCGACTCTCCGGGTTCCCCTCAGATGTGTACGGTTTATGACGCAAAGATCCGATTACGCTCGACCAAGACCCTATGCAGAGCTGGATCAGGCGTTGCCCACTCTGAGGGGTTATGTACTCTTGCAACTAGACCATGGCTTAGTTGTAGAGCATCGTTTGGCCATAAGCGAGGGTCCCTGGCTCGAGTGCTGGTGGTGACAGTCGATTCTTTCCTTCAGACGTCTCCCGTTTTCAACTCCCCCTCAACCGTATCACTACTGGTAAGCTATATGCAGGGTGGTTTATACTGTACCGGCATTTGACTGGAAATCTAGCACATGCTGCAAATCTACTGTAAATATACATTTCGGCAGTTTTTTAAATTTCGGCTATACTGTAAATATACAAATTTTCGGCAGCTACAGGTCGTCCCTCGTTAATACATAATCTCTGGGACTTGACAAATGTTATGTATTAACGGGGTTTATGTACTAAACGAAAGTGTACATAACTTGCTTGTGTACCAGAATTTTTCACTTTTTTCTACTTTTCTGAGTGTTTCTTGCTACCATGACTAGGCAGCGAGATATTCTTGATTCCCTCGATATAACATAAAAATTATGTTATACCGGTCACGGTTAGCGAAGATTCTACAGTTTGCATGACACATGCCCAGCCGGCTGGGTTATACAGGCACGGCTAGCCGCGCCTGTATAGTAACTCCAAAAAAACCGAGCTTTGTCGGTTTGTGATGTGCGCTCTGATTTCTGAGCTAATAGCGTCCACAAGTAGAAACTAGAACACGATGTGCCTCCACTGGAAGGCCAAAAGACCAACAAATTATGTACTATTGAGGTATGTGGCATGCGAGTACGGAGAAATGTTATGTACTAACGGGGTTTATGTACTAACCGACAAAATTTGTATGGAAGTAACCACGTTTCGTCCGGGACTTGAGATTTCTTATGTACTAACGGGGTTTATGTACTAACCGGACTCGTATTAACGGGGGACGACCTGCATTTAATTTCGGCTATATTCGGCACTGACCCAAAACGCCTAAATTAAAACGCCGATGAAATTTTTCACAGCATCTGTCGCACTATACCATGCCCTCTACCCCACGCCGCAAATAAATCGCAGCCGAAATGTCAAAAATCGTGAAGTGCCGAAATTTTGCAGCGCCGAAATTTTGTATATTCACAGTATTCGGCACCCACCCAAAAACGCCGAAATTAAACGCTGCTGAAATATTTCACATTGGCTTTATTGATGTACTAGTATTGCCCCCGTGCCGAGAATAAGACTGCTGAAATGTTGAAAAGCGTGTGAAACGCCGAAATGTTGCACCGCCGAAATGTTGTGCAATTATAGCATGCTCTACAAAAGAGGAAAATTCCCTTTAGCCAGCGGATGGGGCTCAACACAACAATCGCCTGACGATTGCATTGCGCAAGAAACCCGGAGTTGCGACGAACTCTGCAAACCTCCTTTGTGCCGTTTGTGTACTGTATGCTCTACAAACTGCACTCGTTACGACACCGGGACTCTGCCAACCGGATTATGGTTGTAGTCAGGAGCACTATGCGTCCTCGCCTTGTAACATGCTGTCAAAATCGAAAACATGTTAGACATCTTACCTGCAAGTTCTCGATGCTCTCCGTGCGCAGTGAGTTGATTGCCCTGACCTGCGTTAGGCTCAGGCTGGTCATGAAGTGCTCAAACTGGTACATGCGCGGCTGACTCAGACCCAGCGAGTCCGTCTCCTCCGTGTCACCGTCGTCGTCGTCTTTGCTCGTCGTCGTCATGGCGACGCCACCGCTATCGAAGTGGCTCTGGCTGCTGGCACGGCCGGAGTCGCTACACGCCTCCGACGACGAGGAAACCGACCACTGTGGCGATATGCTATGGCGGTGGTGCCCCTGCGGGTGCGGTGCGCCGAGTTTCAGCTTCCCAGACGGTATGGAGTACTTCTTGCAGAAGCGTGCGTTGAGTTGCCGCCGATCGCCGCCGCCACTGCGTTCCGTCACATGGGCAAACGGCATGCCGCTGCCGTCCACAAGCCCGTCGGTGTACGCCGCCAGGCGAATCGGCCGCTCCTCCGCGTTGACTTCTCTGGACTTGGTGAAGTCCTTCCCGAGCGAGGATTCCGGTGAGCTGTTGCGAAGAGACGATCGGCGCTGCAGGCGCGTTATCAGGTCCGCAGAGGCCGAGCGCTTGAGCATGCCGAAGAGCGACTGACCGTGCGTCTTCTTGCCGTGGAGCTCATCGCGTAGCAGGCGCGCCATGTGCGGCTCGCTCCCCGAGGCTCGGCAGGCGCCCTGCGAGCGCGACCATGCTGCGGGCGTCGCGTTGTGCGACGCGTCCGAACTGGTCACGTGGTGGCCGGCGCTCTCGGCCACGTCCACGTGCGAATAGTCGGAGCTCAAGCTTTGGGCGAGGCTCATGCCGCCGCTCAGAGAGCTCTCGAGCGCCTTCTGCCGGTGCGGCTGGCCGTCATGGCGCGTCGAGGACCGCCGGCGAATGGACCACTTCCGCCGCGGCTTGCGGTTGGGATCTGCAGAGCTAGAGCTGGGCTGATTGGCTTCAGCGGACATGGGTCCTGGCGCCTGTGTTTTCGCTGGTTCCGAATCTGCCTCGTCTTCCTCGGGCTTGTCTTGGAGGCGCCCGTTGCGCACGGCACTCCGCACACGCTTCCAGCTGGGTGTCCTGGTGGTGCTAGCGCCCCGTGGCCGCTGCGTCATGGGATCAGCCTCATCCGACAGCTCGGTATTATGAGTGGCACGACGATCTACCAGGTGTGACAATGGTCCTTGCGATGGCGGTGAGGCACCTTCCTCCTCCAGGCTCTGGCTTCCCACGCGCCGAACGAGCATGGACCTCTGGCTGGACGCATTGCTGCTGACCGTGGTGGCGTTGTTGCAGCGAAGTCCGTCGCTACCACCGCGCACGTCCAGAATTTCGTTGAGCTGCCTGCAGCGCTCTTGCCGGTACTGTGTCGAGCGGATGCTGGGCTTACGGCACGGCTTGTTATTGGCAACATGGTGCCTCGACCAGGCGCCTTTGTCGGACACGTCTTCGGACGGCGTGCTTCTGACGAGCGTCGAATTGCGCTGCGGAGGCCTCCTTGGCCCCGTCTGGTAGTGCAGAGGATGATGCTGCAAAGCAGAGATCAGCACAACAACCCAAAACGTCAGATACATGGAGCTAAAAACGAGGCGTACCAAAAAAACGTCCGTATTCCGGCACCAAATTGACGGCGAGCGAATTCACTTGCATATTGTCACGCAGACTTCAATTGCTTCATGTACTTTTTTTCAGTATTTCAAACAGAGTCACATGGGCGAGTAATATTTTATGACCAATGGCACTGCAGTGATGTGGCGACAGAGCTACAAGTACTACTGCCAGTAACACAAGCCAGGCACAGCGGGATTGTGGACTGGACCTTGCTATAGTGATTTCAATGAAGTCTGGAAGTTTGAAGAATCGCTCTGCTTGCCATAATTATAATAACATAAGCAGCTCAAGACCAACTTCGAAGAGATGTCTACACGGTCTCTTGCAGACTGCTGAGCAGTTTGAATGCCCAGGTCTGCGTCGCGGTGATTGCAAGACAACGCTCTAGATTAGATCTGTAGTAAGCTAGCTGGGATATCATGCATACACACTTTAAGCTAGCTGGGATATCATGCATACACACTTTGCCGGGCAAGGACAAAACACGGTCAACACATGGAGCATGATGGCATGCAGGCATTTTTCTGTTCTGTAAACCCACTCACACACAATGGCGGGAAACAGGCACTGCGGAAAATCAAACACCGCACTTTCCCTCTGGTTTGAAATGAACATTCGTACACAACTGGAGTTCATGCGCCAACATTTTGAGATCGCGTAGGTACTGGAACGAATCGAGCAAAAACGGCTGGGCTTGCACGAGAAATTGTAGGTTTGAGCGCATGCTTTCAGAGCGTGATGGAGGAAAATTACGTAATGAAGGCAGCGCGCCGCGCACCGACCCATAACCACAGTTGCATACTCTTGTTTATGCACTCACTTGCTTGGTACCAAATACAGTCATGCACGGTACATTTACACCCTGCAAATAATCAATAATAAATATTTATTATGTACCCAATCTAGTACATGTAGCCGTGTAGGTCTATGACTGTATCATATGTATGTACTCTTTACACACTGCTATATGTACTCTTTACACACTGCTAAAATTATTTATGGCGATAACTAACCCACTTCACACAAACACTTATTTCTACAAGTTTTGTTTCATCATCCCTGCCTGGCCAGTGCTGGGGAGGGCCAGGAAAGCTAGCTCAACCACACAACTCCAGCTGTCCAGCGAAATGAGCTATTCTGGGGAGATCGAATTACCAAGTCGGTAAGAAACACAGCATTTCCTTTGCGCTAATTCGCTCCTCTCAGTGTTCAGCTAAGTTGTTGTTCTGTTGCCAGTGTTGGTGCTTTTGCGGAACAAGAAACAGAAATGCTACAGCCACAGGCTGGCTACGCGGCTCGGCAGAACACTCAGCATTAGACAGATGTCACTTACAAGTTTCCGTCCTTGCTGTCCGTACACAGCATTCGTGCACGTCGACGACATGTGCAGCATTCGTCCGCTCAGCGACAGCGGTGGCGACGCTAGACTTTCCATGTTCCCAGGAGCTAGCTAGCTGTTGACCTGGACTGCTGCTGCCAGGCAAGCAGAAATGATGCAGATCAGAAACGCAACAGCAGAGGGCAGAAGAGGGGCAGTCCGCTGTTCAGACTGACTCTTCCTCGTTCAGACGGTGTCCACCACAGTTCTGCGACAGTCGAAGCCGATACTGCTGCATCAACGCACACTGGCTATCTACCGGACAACTAATACTTACTAGTAGTAGGTCTACTTCCTCACAGAGTGCAGCGGAAACTCTTTCGCTCGTGACATTCAGGTCAGGCTGTTCTGGTGCGGAAAGCTCGGGATAAAATTATTTTGTGTGGCGAATCGGCACATCTCTGCGTGAGATTAGCAGGGATCACGATATCAGTTGCTTACCAGATTTCCACTGATATGCTAGCAGGCCTGGCTCGAGCTCGTGGGGCATTACTGGGGCATGATGTGGTCGAGCCTGGGCTTGGGGCTAGGCTGTAGGTCTACTGTAGTACTGACGAGTGAGGTAGATCTGCGCGTGTGCTTCTCTTTCTCACGTGCTCAAACATTGACGACTTCTTATTCAGTGCTAGTGTGAAGTCCAGCGTCCTCACTCACTTCCACTTTCCAGCGTTCCACGCCAACTAGACTGCCGATTGCTGGCCTGTCGCTGCCTGATGAGAGTGATGCCGCTCTTGACCTTGCCGTTCGAATCCCCCTATAACTAGTAAGTATTAGTTGCCACGAGCTCACGGGCACTTTGAGCAGAGTGTTTAACTCCAGCACAGCCTGGAATCCCTTCGCTTGAGTTAGCCTGGTCTGTCACCAAGGCAGGCAGGGCAGCACCGATGAACGCTCCTTGGCTGCAGTGACCATTCCCTGGAAGGACGCGTTGTAACGTTTTGTGACAACCCGCGCAACCCGAACCGGCAAACTCGAATCGGAGCGAATAACAGCTGAGCTAGACCGGTATTCGCCGCTGAAATGAGTGCCCAGCAAGAAGTGATGAGCTGCAGCAACATCGAACACACACCTGCGAGCCACTGCTTCTTTCGAATGCTCGCCCATGCGTCAGTCCAGGGGCTGATGGCGAAGTGACGAACCAGCAACCTTGTACACGTTGTGTTGTACGGCGAGGAGGGGAAGAAAGCCACCAAGCATAGCTACTTTGTAGCTGCGTACATACATGTACACAGGCATGCCATTGGCATTGTACCGTACTGCAGTCATGTAGTAGATCTTCATGACATGCCAGTGGACCTGCCTGTACTATTACTACTCACACTATGCCAGCTCAAAAAAAAGCCTCAATGACTTATGAAGTTATGTGCCCAAAAAAGCAAAGGAACAGCTATGTTCGAAGGCTTACCGCATACGGCAGTGCACCTACAAAGGCTACATGTACGTCCGTCCTTCCAACTCACGCGGCAGTCGTAGCTAGCATTGTTTACGACTCTTGTCTTGGCCATGCATGGACTCATGGCTTATTTTTAGAATGTTACACAGCAGACTCCGTAGAGGACTTTCAGATTTGTTGTAAGTCCGAGTTTCATGCCGCGAGGCATTCCGTTGTCTGGTGATTATCTTGTGGCAGTTACAATAAAACTACTTCGAACAAACAAACCACAACAAACCTGAAGTCCTGGACGTCCTGTGCACATGTGAGTCTGCTGTCTGCTGTGCTGTACAACAACAAACAACAACAATCTAGTACATGTCATTGCTATTTGTATTGTACAAATGTCGTTATTAATTATTATTGTACAGAGTTCATGGCACTGCACTGGTCCGGTGCACATAAATCATAACTACTTCACGTAAAAATAATAACTGCACACGAGCTTGTTTTGCAAGTCCTCGCCCTGGCCGGCTGGCCGGCCTTGGCCTTGGCAGGTATTTTAATGCTCGAAAAATTGGCAGATTCTGCTAGAAAAGCAGGTGGCAGAATCGTACCAACCTTAGTTATAACAGGCACTTGCATCAACACACTGGTGGCTGGGTGGTCAAGATAGGTGCTTGGGAATCTTATGGTTGCAGATTCGATTCCTGCTGAAACTTCCTTGAACTCCTCCATTTCTTTATCTACACACCAAACATGAAACGTACCAGAAAAAGTACCAAAGTTTGCCAATTTTCCGCCGGCGATAATTAATAGCACGTAGAAGTCTTCCATGGAACATCCACCCGTCCTTTTTACTCCTTCATGGCGTCAGGCTTCACTGCATGCACAGTACGTACCATAGATATACCGACTCTTGCGATCGAATTCAGCCCTCACTTCAATTCAGGCTGTGTTTTAATACATATTATGGCGTTTCAACCCGGGTTGAGTTCGACCCGGGTCAGATTTCAACCCGCCATGTGCACAATATGAATGGCGCGTTTTAATACATGACGCATTGCGCTTGACCCGGGTTGAAATTTCGCCCCGGGTTGATTTCAACCCGCCCCCCAAGGCCAAGGCCAAGGGGAGGGTTGAAATCAACCCGGGTCAAGAAAATCGTACACACGTACTTCTGTGCGTATCTCGCGCCAGGTTTGAACCAGGGAGTAGTACAATTATTGTACTACTCCCTGGTTTGAACAGCACTGCAGATGCAAATTTCGCGCGAACGGATTCACGTGACCATACAGGACTGTAGAAGTGGACTTTTGGCGGCATATCAGTATTTGACCCGGGTCAACTGTCTTCATGTAAACGCTCACCTCTTTTGTCTATCGTACAGACTTTCAACCCGGGCTGAACTCGACCCGGGTTGAAATTTCTCATGTCAACACAGCCCACAAGTAGATGATCTACGTGGCGCGAAGGGGTAAAAAGGACGTCTGGATGTGCGATACTACACACGAAAATTTGTAGAGTTCAACATGCTAGCAAAAGTACATCACGTACTCTTGATACTAGGAAGTAGAATAGGAACACGAGGCCTTTGCGGATAATGCCGCCAGAAAAATTGGCAGAATTCGGTACTTTTTCTGGTAAGTTTCATGCATGTTTGGTATGTGGATAAAGAAATGGAGCAGAATTCGAGGAATTGCCCGCCATAAGGTTTGTATGGTTCTGCCAATTTCACTGCTTTTCGAGCAGAATCCGCCAATGCCTAGTCCACATGGTCCATGGTGCATACCGTAGTGCCGGTGACGCGGTGTGTATTGTGCCCGGCCGGAAGTTTCACTACCGGATACCCCTCCCGAAGCGTTTGGTATTTAGCGGATTAAAAAGAAGGAGAAGAACTCAAGGAAGTGTCTGCCACACGGTTTGCACGGTTCTGCCAATTTTCGACCAGAATCTGCCAATTGTTCGAGCATTTATTCGCCAAGGTCTACTGACTGTAGTTTCAGTAATTGCATTACTGCATTACTAGTATGTCACATAATTGTTATTGCATCATCATCTCGTGGCAAGCAAGGCCAATATTGAATGAGAGAGGGGTGATAGCCAACCACGGCCAAATCAACAAAAGAAAAGTAGTAGACTGTGACATACATGTATAAGAAAGAAGAAAGAAAGGAGATAACTCAAGAGATACGAATTACACAGTGGCCCAGAACAAGTGAATGCCTAGCGAAGTAAAGTAGCAAAAGTGGAAAGTGTTTGGCAAGTCTTGAGGTCCTGTGACAGCAACGACCAATGTGTATGTGCCAAAAATAGAGGGGACTTCAGAAGAGTGGCTGTGCGAGAGATAGGGAAGCAGAGAGAGTTTCGGGTAGCTGAGGAGTGAGGACTGATGAAACCAGTTAAGTTAAGGACGAATTTTATGAATTAGTTTACATGATGAAAGTCTGAGCCTGTTAGAGAGAGGGCAGCTGGATGCGATAGCATAGACAGTATGAGAGGGCGTCAAACGGGGAATAGCAAAGACAGCGCGAATTAAGCGACGATATGTGACTTCGAGACGATTCGTGAGCGATGTGCTGATGCCAGCCCAAATGGAGGAACAGTAGTCAAATACAGGCGGAACATAGCATTTATACAGCATTAAACGGCAATCACGGGGGAAATGAGATAAGTGAGAGGAGAGGAAGCCAACAATAGAACTTGCACGTTTCTTCAGGTACGTAATGTGGGGATCAAAGGACAGATGCTGATCCAGGATAATCCCAAAGTGTTTGTGCTGATCGACTATTGAGAGACAGGTACGGAAACGTGAAACGTGAAAGGCGAGGGACTTAATACAGACCAGTCACTATTGTTGGGACGAGGAGTAAAGCAGAGAATAGCGGTTTTAGATGCGTTTGGCTTCAGCTTCCACGAACACACTAGCGGCGGCCAATCATGTAGTGATATTGTAAACGTTCCCAGAAAGCCCGAATGCTCTTAGCTTACCGAGTATATCTCTAGTCCATGCCGAGTCGAAGGCCTTGCTAAGATCAAAGAAGCAGAGCAAGCGAAATTGTCGAGTGTCCTTGGATTGATGTAAGGCCTGTACCAAACGCAACAGCTGCCAAGACGTGGAGTCCCCACGACGAAAACCGGACTGGGAAGGACTGAGGAGAGGGTTCACATGAGGATAGACATGATCAAAGACTGCACGTTCACAAAGTTTGGATATAGTTGATAAAAGAGAAATAGGCCGGTAGTTGGTTGCTTAAGCGCGAGACCTTGTTCTTATATATGGGTGTGACTATTGAGTGCTTCCAAAGGGAGGGAAATACGCCAGTAGAAAATGTCATGTTGAAAAGGAGACTAAGGGGGTACGCAATTGCTGGAGAAAGAAGTCGAAGAAGCTCATCATCATGACTGATGCCATCAACGCCTGTGGCCTTCTTCAGCTTTAATTAACTAATATATTTCTTGATGCGGGAGGGGGTTGTGAAAACAGAGGTAAGTGGAGGCATGTGGTGTTGTGGGAAGTCAGGCACAGACCAAGAAGGATCATCTTTGGTCCCGAAGTTTACGAACTGCGTATTTAGCGCGTCAGCAATGGCAACCGGATCCGTATGAACAGTACTATTCCCCTCACAGAGCTGGGCTACGCCATTACCATCTGAAGAGGCAGTAGTACCTGATCGTGCTTGACGGACAAACTGAAAAAGGTTGGGTGCTGGAAGGTTGCCGTGGGCTGAGCTGAGGGACGTCAACGAGGAGATAAACTCACGATGGGCTTTGCGAGACATATTCCGGGCCTTTTTCCGCTCAGATTTGTAACGGGTGAGGTTGTCAGGAGTGGGGTACTTCTTGTACAGGCTGTAGGAATCTCGCTTGTGCTTTAACTGAATTCTTAGTGCCCGGAGTGAGCCACAGGCTGAGGGGATTACCTTTATTGCGGCCTGGACGTGATGATTGGACTTTCGCTGGCAAGAAGGAGGAGCATACATTAAATAAAGCGTGGTAGAAAACTATCAGGGTAGTATCCACATTTTGATGTTGGACAGGTAGAACTAGAGGCCAGTCAACATTGGCAATAGCAGCTTTAATATCCGAAGCAGAATCCGAGGTCAGTCGGGAGAGGTCAAATTGGCGAAAGTTCGGGATGGGTGTTGAGGTACTACTTGGAGTTCGAGAGGGCATGGATATCGGTGATACTAGAGTACGGGGGAGGGTCAATCTACCAAGCACAGTAGAATGGTCGGACTGCCCAAGCGGGGCCTCAGTGCAGAGGGAGAATACATTGTCAGGTCGATCACTTATGATCAAATCTAGAGCAGTGCCAGCGGAGCCCAATGCACCATGGGTTGCGAACTAACGAGTAACGTGACGTCACGTGTTGGGTTA